TTCCGCGGTCTGGGCCTTTTCCTCTTTCTGCCTTCACCACTGGCAGGAGTGTAGCGGCTGCCTTCTTGGAATGTCTTTCTGGACTTTTCTTAAAAATAGCAGAGACCTTTAGCAAATGTACTCCATGAAGTCTTGCCTGTCATTGGGGTGTTCCAAGGGGCCTCCCAGGGTCCCTAGCAATCCCACAGCCTTGGGGAAAATGGGACCTGTGCCACCCTGTGTGGGTGTTGTTGGAACAATCCTAGATTTCACACTTTTAACAAAGCTCTAGATTTCCAGTTGTTTTGGCTTTCCTTTAGGCCACCGGCTGCCCTTATTTTTCTTGTATCGGGTCCCCTGACAGCCACATCCACTGCTATTTAAGAAATGGCTCCATGTCTTCCCTGTAGCATTTGTACCCAGGACCTGGCTCAGGATTTCCAGCTGCCTTCTGGAAAGTTCTACAGATGCTTCAGCCTTACAGGTCTAGAAGTGGCCTGCTTCGGAACTTGCCTCCTGACTCAGTGAATGACATCATCACTGATCCAGTGATCAGCAGGGAAGCCCAAGCTCCTCTCTTCCTCATCTTCTACCATGCCCTGTCATCATCACTCACCCAGTGACCAGAACAGAAGCCCACGCTCTTTCCCTTCCTTGTTTCTATCACATCTTGTCACTCCTGTCCTCTCTTCTCTACTCAGCCATCACTGCCTTCAGCCCTCAGGCTCTTCTTACCCCAACTACCGGACAGCCTGTGGTTTTTCACCTTTTTCTAATTTACCCACTGTTCAGTTTCTTAAGTTATACATTTGTTAAAATAAATCTTTGAGTGGCCGCACCCTGGTGACCCATGCCAGTTGGAGGATGGAGGTCGGAGGATCATGAGTTTGAGGGCCTATCTCAGAAACAAAATACAAGCAAAAGGGGGTTCAAATGGTAACAAACTTGCCTGGTACACGTGAAGTCCTAGGTTCAATCCCTAGCACCAGTACTACAATAATAGGAATGAAAACCTAGTGGATCTTATCAGTTCACTCAAAGGTGATAAAAACCTGCTAGATCACTATGGTGGATGCGCATGTTCAAGAAATACCACGATGAATGAGAAACGTGTACAGCAGAGAATGGATTCAGATCATGGCCTCACTACATGCAACTAACTAGTTCTCCGTGTGTCACTTTTCTCATGTATAAAATGAGATGTTTTTGTGTATATGCCAGTCCTGGGCCTTGTCTTTGAGCTTTTGTGCTCATGGCTTGTGCTCTACCATTTGAGCCACAACTCCACTTCTGGCTTTTTGGTGGTTAATTGGAGATAAGAATCTCATGGACTTTCCTGCCCAAGCTGGTTTTATACCTCAAGCCTCAGATCTCAGGTAGCTAGTATTACTGGTAAGCCACCAGCACCTGGCTAAAGTAACATTTTCAAAAGTATTAATCATACTTGTTCCACCTCTGAGTTTAAGAACATTAAAAAGATATATAAAAGCCAAGTGCCCTGGCAGCTACTGAGTAGGTGGAGATGATCCCCATGTCAACAAACTGAGCATATAGTGCATGCCTATGGTCTTAGCTACACGAATGGCTGTGGGTGGGACAGTTGCAGTCCAAGGCTGATCCTAGATAAAACTTCAAGACCCTGTAAAAATTAAATTATGAGGAATATGTGGCTAAAGTGGTAGAACACCTGCCTAGCAAGTGTAAGACCCTTGTACTACCATCAAACCCCAGTACCACCAAAATTAAGAGAGAGAGAAAAAAGAGAGAGAGAGAGAAGGGTGGGAGAGGGAGAGAGGAAAGGAGGGAGGGAGGGAAGGAAAAATACACACGAAAGTGAGATAGGATCCAAAGATAGTTTTATTGCAGGTGAAACAGGCTTGGGCCTGGGGCCAAAAAAAAAAAATCTTTCTAAAACTTCCTCCTTGCCTCAGCTTTGCTCCCTACCTGAGGGAGAAGTTGAATCTATAGGGAAAATGTCAACCTGCTTTAGCTTTGCCTTGATTCAGGTTTCCTAGGCCATGGAAGGGAGCAGGTGCCACAGAACCTGTCCTGCATTCAGGCTGCCTATGCTTCACCAAAGAAAAACTCAAAACCAAAAGGATAGGGGCCCCTGGGACCAACGCCAGACACTGGCTCTCTCATAGATCACCCGGATAGAAGGACAGGTAGGAACTCTGATTACAGAGGAAGGAAAAGATGGGAAAGGAAAGATGTTCTTACCACTTCAGCCAGGTAGAAACCCTAAGAAGGAGAGAAAATAAATACTTTCCTACTACCTTCTGTTTGGTAGGTTTGTTGGGGTGAGTATAATGTGAGGCATGTATGAGACATAGATAGTGTGTGTGTGGTTAGTGGCTGACACATTGTTGTCACAGGCTGAGTGGCATCTGAGGCCTAAACTCTGTGAACGTAACCATCCATAGATGTGAGAGCCCTGGGGCCAGCCAGCCACTAGAGATTCCTCTCAGTAAAAAGTCTACTTGGGAAATGTATCTGTGGAAGGGTAACCTCAGATCAGAGAAATGTGATTGTAAAGGATACAGAAGTCTGTCAGGTTGGTCTTCCCCATGTAGGAATCCACTGTCCATTGCATTGCAAGGCTGAGGACATTAGAAAAGAAAAGAGACTTATGTTTACTTTCCACTTGATGCTCCAAGACAGGGCTGCCCAATCAGTTTATTCTCTGGGAAGGGCTTCATGGTGGATGATATCTTTATGGAGGGCATGTGGAAGGGATCATATGGGTAGACAGGAAGGAGAGATGAGGTAGGCCAAGTCGTACTGTTTTTATGACCTTAACTTTTTTTTTTTTGCCAGTCCTGGGACTTGAACTCAGGGTTTAGGCACTGTCCCTGAGCCTCTTTGTGCTTAAGGCTAGCACTTTACCACTTGAGCCACAGTGCCACTTCTGTTTTTTTCTGAGTAGTTTATTGGAGATAAGAGTCTCATGGACTTTTCTGCCCATGCTGGCTTTGAACCATGATCTTCAGATCTTAGCATCGTGAGTAGCAAGGATTATAAGAGTGAGCCTCCACTAACTTCTCTCTGTCTCTGTCTCTGTCTGTCTCTGTCTCTCTCTCTTTGGGTGGGTCATGGGGCTTGAACTGTGGGCCTGGGTAGTGTCCTTCAGCTCTTCAGCTCAAGGCTAGCGTTTTACCACTTGAGCCACAGCGCCACTTCTGGTTTTCTGGTGTTTTTTTGGAGATAAGAGTCTCATGGACTTTTCTGCCCCAGCTGGCTTTGAACCACAATTCTCAGACCTCAGCCTCCTGAGTAGCTAGGATTATAGGCGTGAGCCACCAGCACCCGGCTAACTTCCTTCTTGAGACACATTAATCACTTCTGAGGGTATCATTCCCAATGACTTAATTACCTTCCCCTAAGCCCCGCCTTGTAATAGTCTACCACCTCTCATATAACACTGGGAACCAAGCCTTGAAAACATGAAATGAGGTGCACACCAAACCATTTGACTTGCTGAAGACGAACCTATTTACCATGCTGGCTTAAAGCCCTCAGCATCCAACCCATCATCACTATTTTTGGGGAGGGGGGTAAAGGTTATATACAGAGAGGTTACAGTTATATAAGTCAGGTACATTTATTTTTGAACCATATCATATCCCCCTCATTTGTCCCAGTTTTCCCTCCCTCCCCCTTTCCCCCCACAAGTTGTGTAGTTCATTTCCAACAAAGTGTCTAGTAAGTATCACTGCTGAATTAGTTCACCCTCTGTCCACCATTTCCGTGCTTCCCTCTCCAAATCAGATAAACTTGCATACAAGACAAAAGGTACAGAAATAAAAAACAGCTTCAAACGTGGGGGGGAGGGGGCAGAAAAAAAGAACTTTAAGTAAAATAAAAAAAACCTCTTGTTTCCACTTTTTAGAGTTCATTTCACTAAGCATCATTTTATATGATCATATGCACATAGCTATTAAGCCCTTGATGATCACTTCTTTTTATCAAATGGTAAAATATATATAACATAAAATGTGTCATTGTAATCCTTTTTAGGTATATAATTCTTCAGTATTAGGAACACTCACAATATTGTGCAATTATCAAATTATCACCACCATCTGTTTCCAAAAGAGTTTTTTTTTTTTTGCCAGTCATGGTGCCTGAACTCTGGGTCTGGGCGCTGCCCCTCAGCTCTTCAGCTCAAGGCTAGTTAGTGCTCTACCACTTGAGCCACAGCACCACTTCCAGCTTTTTCTGCTTATGTGGTGCTGAGGAATCGAACCCAGGGCCTCATGCATGCAAGGCAAGGACTTTATCACTAAGCCATCTTCCCAGCCCCTCCAAAACAGTTTATTTCAAGCCAGGGCTTGAATTCATAGCCTTGTACCAAGTAGGTGGTAGTTCTACCACTTGATTAATGTCTTCAGTCCTATTTTTTCACTGATTAGTGTTTTGAAGATGGAGTCTTGCAGACTTTTCTGCCTAGGCTGGCTTCAAATCATGACCCTTTAGATCTCAGCCTTTCTAACTAGAATTATAGGCATTAGCCACTGGCATTTAAAATCTCCCCACCCCTCTCCACCCTCTTTCTTGCTGGGACTGAAGTTTGAATTTAGGGCCAGCTTTGTGCTCTCATTCAGTTTTTTCATTCATAGCTGGTGCTGTACCAGTTGAAGCATGATTCGAGTTCTGGTTTTGTTTTTTGCTGGTTAATTGAAGATAATAGTCTTGAAATTTGGTCTGCTCAGGCTGATTCTAAACCTCAGTCTTCAAATCTCAGCCTCCTGAGTAGCTAATATTACAACATGCACCGCAACCGTCAGATAGTTCTTAATAGTGGAATCATTCAGTGTTTGTATTTTTGTATGACTATTTCATTTAGCATAATGTTTTCAAGGTTTATTTATGTCATAACTGTGTCATTTTTTTAGATTAGAACTTAAATGGCTTCCATTGCTTGCGTGCGTGTGCACACGTGCACGCGCGCTCGTATGTGTGTGTGTGTGTGTGTTGTCTTGATCAAACTCCTTTTTCTCTCTTCTTTTCAACACTTACAGAGCCTCCCCTTCCAGAAGTAGAGTTTTTCACAGTACATGGAGGGTCTCTACCACGCCTCAGGCTGAGGAAAGCCAAGGAAGAAAATGGGCCCATCAGGTCAGTACCTATCTTTTCTCCAGTTACCTAGTAATCCCTGGGGGGTGTTTTGGAAACTGGTTTGTGTGAGAAGATGTCCCTGGGGGTGGCTGCAGTTGAGTAGTGGAGACAATGCAACAAGGTCTCTGTTTTGTTTCCTGGGGCACAGACTAGACTTTTTTTTTTTTTTTACCTGGTTATGGGGCTTGGACACAGGGCCTGGGCACTGTCCCCAAGCTTTTTCATTGAAGGCTAGTGCTCTACCACTTTAAGTCGTAGCTCTACTTCTGGTTTTATGGTGACTAATGGGAAATAAGAGTCTTATAGACTTTCCTGCTCAGTCTGGCTTCAAACTGTGATCCTCAGATGTCAGCCTTCTGAGAAGGTAGGATTACAGGCATGAGCCACCAGTGCCTGGCCAAGCTAGAACTTTTAATCTCAATAAATGAAGAGAGAAACATCTATGGGACCAGCATTTGGGCAGTTTAGCTCAGGAAATCAGATTCACCCCTTCAGTCATTGAAAGCATGGGTTGAGAACATTAGGCATTGTCCTTCATGTTCATGTTCATTGTCCTTCATATACATGTTTTAGCATTGGTGGTGGGTCAGAAGCATCATTTTATTGCCTGAATACGTTTCACTTTATGTCAGGCTGACTTTGGCGTGTGTGTGTGTGTGTGTGTGTGTGTGTTGATTTCTGAAAAGGTCATTTGGATGATTCTTTTTATCCAGTCACCTATAAGGGTGAGACACTGTAGTTCATGACCACTGTTGGGACTGCAGATGGCATCAGAATGTTGGAGGGCGACATTGTGTTTGTTTTGGCTGTTTATTTGCAGAGTTCATGGGAGCATTAAACTCATAAATTGACACATTGAGTTGAAACTACTTTGTATAACTACTTGAAAATAACAGGAGCATAGAAACATTCTTTCCTCATCCTCCGTGTGTGTGTGTGTGTGTGTGTGTGTGTGTGTGTGTGTGTGTGTGTGTGTGTGTGTGTGTGTGTGTGTCTGTGTTCTAGGACTTGAACTCAGGGCCTGGGTGCTTCCCCTGAGCTTTTCTGCTCAAGGCTAGCACTCAGTCATTTGAGCCACAACTCCACTTCCAACTTTTTGTTTTTGATAGTTAATTGAAGGTAAGAGTCTCATAGACTTTCCTATCCAGGCTGACTTCGAACCATGATCCTCAGAACCTAGCCTCCTGAGTAGCTCTGATTACAGGTGTGCGCCACTGGCGCATAGCAACAACCCCTTTTTTTAGAGAGGAAGATGAAGGTTGGGCTGGAGAAAGCTGCAACTTGCTCACAGTACCAGGTCCAGGCGATGGCCTTGGGTGTGGCCTAACCTGCTTTTCCTTAGTCCTCTCTCTACCCTCAGTGTAATAGAGGTTAAAAAATAAACATGAGATATTATGAAATTAGGAAAAAGGAAGTTTAGGGGTACTATAAAACTTGGGCTTTCCCTGCTTTCATATTAGTTTAAGCTCAGGGTCTTTTCAGGGATGGACATTGCCAATCAGTTGCTTCTTGATTCCTGATCAGTTACTGGAAGGCCTTGAACTCTGTAGCCCCAAGGACAGATGCAGCGACATCACTGCCTGAGAGAATTTGCAAGAGCAAATGGCATACTTAAACCAAATAATGAGGCAAAAAGAAAAGCCAAGTGACAGTCTATCCTTGTGCCTGTGTGCTGGCCAGTGGCTCCCGAACAGGAAGTGGAGATGTGAGTCATGTAGGGAGGGGGGTGGGGTGAGAAAGAAAGCACAAGTCTTTCCAGAATGGCCAGGTTCCAAGCCGTGCCAACTGCCTCCTTGACGTCACTGGGGCTGGTTACCAGCAGAGAGTGGGGTGATTTTCTCAGCCTGTGCGCCTGTTTGAGCAGACACTAGCAGCTCTGCCATACCTGATTCTTTTCTGTGCCTTTTCTGAGGGCAGTGGATCAGGAGCCCGAAGGGAGCAGAGGCCTGGGGACTGAGTCTTCCTTTGTTATCCTTAGGCAGAGGATTTGGCCCCAGACTGGACTCCTTTGACGCTAGTGTCTCCCACCCTTGCTAGGTGATAGGAGTTACCTGGCCTGCTTTATCATAGTACACATTCCCAACCCTACTTCTGGAGATTCTGACTCAGGAGGTCTAGAATGGGGTCTGGGAAGGTGTATTCATTAAAGGGTTCAGGGGGAGCTGCTCCTGTCCTCTGCTCAATGCACAGAATCAAATGAGTGCAGGTGAGCCTTGAACATGCACTTCACCATCGCTGTCCACAAGGAAAGCTGAGCTTGAAGAGGTGCTTGTGGATAGCAGAGAGCTGTTGAGCTGTTAGATTTGCTTTCTCCCTGTGGTCAACATTCAGAGGAATGCCAGCTTTGGGTTGTAAATGTTCCCCATGGATAGTGGAAGCCCAGGCGATATTTATAGCCTGCAGGTTTTCCTTTGTAGCTTTTGTGCTGGCTGAAAGTGAACCCAGGCTGTATAAACCGGGCTCTAAGGATACCTAGAATATTTGGAAACTTAGTAGATGGCTGGAGAGTTTCCAAAGGCAACATCTTCTGTGAGAGGGTTCCCTCTTCTTAACCCAGGAATTCATGAGCTTCTAGGAGGCAGGAGATGGGGCACTAGGGATTTGGAGCAGGAAGTGCAAATTTGTCTGGGAAAATAAAATTCTGTGACCTAATGAGTTTTGGAAATTACCCTAATCCTATTCGATGCTGATGTAGGCTTTTTCTCCTTACTGAAAAGCTCAACTCAAGAAACACTACAGAGGGTTGATCTTCGCCACAGAAATGTGCAAGGACTTTGCAAGAAGAGGAGAGTAAATCATTTAAACTTCTGCTGTCAAGTCAGCTAGAGACAGAGGATGTTCAAACATTTACTATCAGCAGGAGATAAGACCTGAATAGATGGCAAAGGAAAGGGAGATGTGACTCATTCCCAGTACATTTTTATTCTTGTACTTCCTTTCATAGGCAGGGCGTTCTATTTGGTTGAATAAATAATTTTTTAAAAAACACACACATGACAAAATGATACCAGATTGTGAGCGGGATTTCTAGGTCTAAATTTAGGGGATAGTTTCATAATGTACCTATGTCATTTTACCTTTCTGGCTGTCTTGGGATCTTGTCAGCCTAGATTACCTCATGGTGACTTTGCACTCCTGGCTTCTCATTTATTTCATATGAACTTTGGTATCAGCCTGTGGACTGAAGGGAATGTCGATCACATGAGTTCTGTTTTAAGTTGCCACATGATTGTCTAGAAATGTTTTTCAGACTTAGCACTTTAACTGTTACAGACAGCTGGCCTTCATGTGACTGCTAAGCCCTCTCCACAGGCTCAGCTTTACTTGCCCATGGGGAAACTCACTGATTAGATCAGCTGGATGACAGACACACAAGGAGGCCACGCAGCTAAAAGAGGCTGTGCTTAGCATCTGCCCACAGCTGGACCTTAGCTTTCTTACCCAGTATTACCTGGGATTAACACTTAAGCTAAACGTGGAATGCGGTGACTATTGGCGTTGTCTGGGTGGACAGATCACCTGGGCCAGGACTTCTTGCCCAGTCTATGTCCCCAGTGCCTTGAAAGTGCTCATCTCATTCTAGTTCTGTAAATTCAAATAAATGAATTCTCCAAGCAAGGGTATGAGAGGTAGGTTTGATAAAATGCACACCCGATCCAGACAAACCAAGTTAATGAGCTCCCTCCCAATGTGTTTGCTTTCTTTGTGCTCTCAGCTCCTATCAGGTGGTAGTGCTTCCTTTGGGCCTCCAAAGCACATTTTCTTGTGATTCTGAAGGGGTGACCTCGTTCTTCAGCAATACCTCTGATGCTGATGGATATATGGCTGCAGAGCTCCTGGCCAAAGATGTCACAGATGATAGCCTGGAGGTATCCATTGGAGACAGGCTGTACTATGGGAATTATTATAATGCACCCTTGAAAATAGGGAATGATTACTGCATTATACTACGAATCACAAGTGAATGGAATAAGGTATAGTTCTCTCAAAGCTCTTGCAAACTCTGCATCTTGCTTTCCGCATGAAATATAAGTGTGTGAACATGTGTTTTCTGAGTATTTGAGATGAACACAGCCTGTTATAGCCACCAAAATGTAGCGATGACTCTGCTTTGCCTTTATAAAGGATGGGCAGGCAAAACCCTTACAGATGCTTCAGTCTGAACTTCCTGGGGGACCTCCTTGGGTCTGCAGGGAGGATGGTCTGGTTTTAAGGAGACAGTTTCCTAATGTAGCCATGTCATTTCCCTTTCCGGCTGGTCTGAGGATCTCAAGGCCAAGGATCCATGTTGATCTTACTTCATACCTGCATGCTGAAGCTGGAGGTGGAAGAGAGTCTAGATCTTGCTCTCCACTTCTCTTGCAGCCCTCCCAGGCTGCTGCCTCCCCTGCTGCTGCCAGAGAAGCCAACAATGCCCCTTTCCCTGCTTAGGTCCCTTCCTTGGCTAAATATAGTCCTATTCCGCCTTCCCCTGTCCTCAGAAAGGCTGTGCTCTTCTAGGACTGATTCCTCTATGAGAAAGAAATGTTCATTAGATAGTAAATATAATGAGCTGGACAAGAACCTGGCCCTTTATCCATTTTTAATTGAATTGCTTGCTATTTTTTGTTGAGTATTAGGAATTTATATTTATTATGAATATGAATCCAGATTTTTTAAAATCTCATATTGTTCCTTTGTATGAGGCAAGAAAAATTTTCAAGTGTTTTCTTATGGAAGAGAACTTTTGACATACAAAAGCTTTTAATTTTGATGAAGTCCATTATGTCTATTGTTTTCTCCCAGCACCTGTGTCTCATCCAAGAAACCAACAAATTTAATTTCATGAATTTTTTCCTCTATGTTGTCTTCTAAATTCTGGGTTTTGTTTTTGTTTTTTTGTGCTGATCTTGAGGGTTGAACTCAGGGCATTTCTGGCTTTTTGGTAATTAATTGGAGTTAAGAATCTCATGGACTTTCTTGCCAGGGCTGGCTTTGAACCACAATCTCAGATCACAACCTCCTGAGTCCTAGAGTTACAGGTGTGAGCCATGACAAGTTTTATGGTTTTAAGTTTTGCATGTATGTCTTTATATATTTAGAATTTATTTTGTGTATAATGTGAGGAAGGGATCCAACTTAACTTTTAATGCTTTTGCACGTGACCATGTCTTTCCAGCACCATTTGTTGAAGAGACTATCTTTTTTCCACCAACTACTCTTGTCATCTCTGTATCCTATTTTGTTTACTTATCTGTCTGTCTCTATGATAGCACCAATATTTTGATTAGCTTACTACTATATTTTGAAATTAGGAAGTATGAGTCTTCCACCTCCACCATGTCATTTTTCTATCTGTGTACGTTCCTAGTAAATAGCACTATTATGCCTACAATAGCCAACTCAGAAAACTAAGAATAATTCTCATTCCTCCCTCTTTCTCACCTTCTAGTTCAGTCATCAAACCATGCCAGTTCTAGTACCTTACTGCTAATTCAAATCATGATTCCTTTTCATTACTCAACATTTGTCTTTTCTGAACACTTATTTTTCCTAGCTGTTTTTCTTCTACCTATCTCGTTGCTGTACATGTGTGTGTATTATAAAATGCATATTGACAGAGGCACTGGAGTTTAATGAGATTCCTCCTCTACTTGCCCCCTGTCAACTTCTCTGCTGTAGTACATTCAGTTCCTTAGTAACCACCTTGCTATTTGAGATGTCTTTGTTTTTCCAGTGTCTTGATATGCGTACTTTGCTGGTGATTCTTGCCAATTCCTCCATTTCCAATCTCTATACTTAGCCTCAAGGCAAAATTTACTTGCATGTAAAATGGTTATTTTAAGCTCTTCCCAGAATTTTTTTTTAGTTCAGATATGTTTTAAAAAATTTTTAGTGAAATAAAAAACGAGAATGCTGAAACTTGTCATTTGAAACAGAATCTCCTTAATGAGGCTACCGAGCTTCTTCTGCCCATGAGAGAGACTGTACTGAATCTTATCATAGTCAGTGATCCTGGCAGTCCTGTTTGAAAGATACTCACAACATGATGATGGGGAGAAGAGCAGGTGCTCCATTCAGTGGGTCTATAGCGCTTTTTTTTTTCTGCTTTGGATCAGTGTTTGTGCTTGTTCTCCTTGTTCTTAGATACATTTTGGGTAACCAAAATGTAGTGCTAAGCATCATGTGTCATGCAGTTGGCTGAACTATTATTACATACCAGGACCACTTCTTTATATCACCTACATGGGGTCTCAGGATTCTTTTCCCAAGCAGTCAATGCTGGTCGCTCAGAGCTGGCAAGGAGAACAAAGCTCTTGCCATTCTGTTGTTTCCTCATGGGGGAGGACTTCCTGAGACCCATAGTGTACCTGTGCACCCTGTCACCTGCTTCAGTCCTGTGAGCATTGGTGAAATCTATAGAGCTAACAATAGGTAAAACACTTGCCTCGCATGTTTGATCCCTAGTACATTAAAAAAAATATATAGCACTTGAGTCTCACACTTGTGATCCTACCTACTCAGGAGGCTGAGTTCTGAGGAGCACAGTTTGAAGCCAGCCCAGGCAGGAAAGTTTGTGAAACTCTTATCTCCAATTAGCCACCAAAAAATCAGAAGTGAAGCTGCTGGCTCAAGTGGTAGAGGGCTGTCATTGAGCAAACAAAAAACCTGATGGTCAGTGCCCAGGTCCCAAGTTTAAGCCCCAGGACTGGCATGTGTGCACGCACACGCGCATGCAAAAGCTAGATGGATCTTGAAAGATTCCCTACTTCAAATTAGAGTGTAAAGAAGCTGAGTTGTGGAGGGCTGTGGCCTCTGAGCCACACTGCATGCCACCAACTTGCCTATGTTGCTGTGTTTTTCTTTATAGGTGAGAAGATATTCCTGTGCAGTTTGGGCTCAGGTGAAAGGTAAAACCATTTTCTTATGATCAGTTCTGTCCTTATTTGTCCTCTGTTTGAGCTGCAACATTAGGTTCATGCTGAGATCTCTTTTTAAAATCATCACTAGTGACAGAAATCCAGCTGATACTATCTTTTTTTTTTTTTTTTTGGGTCCAGTCATGGGGCCTGAACTCTGGGCCTGAGCGCTGTCCTTCAGCTCTTCAGCTCAAGGCTAGCGCTCTACCACTTGAGCCACAGCGCCACTTCTGGCTTTTTTCTTTTTGCTTATGTGGTGCTGAGGAATCGAACCCAGGGCCTCAGGCATGCAAGGCAAGCGCTCTACCACTGAGCTACCTTCCCAGCCCCAGCTGATACTATCTTAAGCAATAGTAACAGCAAAAGGGATGGGAACTTAGAAATTACACCAGACCTCCAGGGCCTGGGACTCAACACTATCTGTCCCTTATCCCCTTTCTATTTGCCTCTCGGTAGTACTTGTCCTCATTTTTTTTTTTTTTTAATTTGCTAGTTCTGGGGCTTCAACTCTGGGCCTGGGTGCTGCCTTTGAGCTTTTGTGCTCAAGGCTAGTACTCTACCACTGGAGTTACAGCTCCACTTCTGGCTTGTGGTTAATTGGAAATAAGAGTCTAATGGATTTTCCTGCCTATGCTGGCTTTGAACCACAATTCTCAGATATCAGCCTACTGAGTAGCTAGGATTACAGATGTGAACCATAGGTGTCTTTGCCCTCTCCCCTCACATCCACTGGCCATGTGGTGGGGAGAGATTGGCCACAGATGTCCCAGCTGAGTGACTTCACTGGGAACAGAAGATTTTACAGTTTAGAGAAGGCATCTTTCCTATCCAGAGGCTGATTCCCTATGGATGTTAGATGGAGGACTACTATTGACCTACTTTAGATTTTATATTTGCTCCTATGGCTTGCTGGGGTCAGAGCAAGGTGATTAATAGCTTCATCAGAGTTGCATTGACACGAGATTGGAGGTGTGCTCAGGTAGTGGAGCCACCAATGAGCAAAAGCAAGCATCAGAGTTGCATTGACAGGGGACAAGATTCCATAAAGAAAAGATTCACAGGAAAACTTGTTTGTACCATAAAACAAGCGCTATCACATTCTACTACTTTGTATAACATGGCTGCATGGCAGGTGTGCACACATATGGACAGTCACATGTCCCACAGTGACATTTTTGTCGAGTGGTCTGCTTATATAGCAATGGTCCCATAAGAATGCATTGCCTATAGATGTCATGGCCATCTTAGTTTGTGTAAGCACATTCTATGATGCTTGCACAATGACAGCATTGCCCAGCGACATATCTCTACTATGTCTCCATTGTCAGGTGACTCCATTATCATATCAAGAAAAATAACTGCCATTAATGAAATACTATCCCACATACTGTAAATTTTTTTTTTTTAAATACAAAATGGAACCTAGGGGAAGATAGTTCAAGGGGCTGGTTATCACATCTAGCTCCAAGTCCTAGGAATGGTAAGTTCTTCTTGATCAGGTCCAGATGTGCCTTTTCTGATCTATTTAGGGATCAGTGACTAAATGAACAACTTGACTGTTCATAAACCACAGGGCAGGACATCAAAGGGAAAATAAGGACAACAATCGCTGTCAGGTAGCAAGGAGGAAGAGATGTAGTCATGTGTTGAGGGGGGGAGAAGGGCTCATAACAGTGTGCTCTGGCAACAGAACAGGGGACTCTTGCTCAGTCTGATGGCCTCAGTTCTGCTTGACTAGTGTCCCTTCTTGTCCATTTCCTGTAAAGCTTTGCCTCCTTGCCCGGTGCTGTATGGCTTAAACCCTCTACTCAGCATGAGCAGACTTATCCAAGGGGAATGGCCTCTGAGACAGAGAAATCACAGTTTCTTCCCTGGCAGCACATTTCTGTAAAACCAACAGGCACACAGGCCAGCCAGTAGTGTTGATTCCAGGAGTTTAGTTTGTAGCTGATACCAGAAATCCTGTCAAGTTTATGACCTTTTGAATCTGGACGTTTTCCTTATGGTTTATGAGTTCTCACAACAGGCTGAGGAATTCAGCCCTCAGCCCACAGTATCAGTTTAACCTCTTACATTCTGGGCTCAGCCTCAGAGCAGCATAGAACAATGGGCTAATGTGGTACGGAAGTGCTGGCAGCTGCTTGCAGGAAGTTTCCCAGGGATGGGACTTCACAGGGGAGATGTTATTCTCTCAGTAGACGGTTCTTGGCAGGAAATGTTTCATTCAGGGAGGCCTGGGGAATTAGATTCCCTCCATTTGTCTGTTTCTTCCCCAGCCTTATTTTCTATCTGTTCATTTCTACTCAAAGTTAACTTCAACAATAGTAGAAGACTTTTCAGTTGGGTAAAACAAATTACCTGACCAATAGCCATCTTGAATTGAGAACAGCCAGCCGTGTGTGTGTGTGTGTGTGTGTGTGTGTGTGTGTGTGTGGTGACTCTTCACAGGTATCCATTCCCTTTATTGAGAAGTTTAGTAGAGGACACGAAAAATAATCACTTGCTCCAACATTTGCAAAAGTTTTCTGCCAGTTGGTTTCTAAAGGTACTAGGGACAGGAAGAGAGTTCTCACAGGAAAAAAAAAATGCTTTTATAGAAGAACTAAGATATGTTCGCTTCCAGACTTAGAAACAATAGCTTGCAGAATCCATTCCACTCAGCAGCTGTTTGTTATGATTGGAAAACAAACTGGGTAGAAATAACCAGAGAGCTGGCTGGAGTCCTGCTGCTGTGGTAAGTTAATAGAAAGGGCTTTACTTTGAGAATGTGTGAGGGACTTTTTGTCAGTGCTCTTTTATCTTCCCTCAACTTGAGAGCCAGTAGTGAAAGAGAATTTGAGCCTTTGCATTAAAAGCACTAGAATGCTCTGGAAAGTAGTAAAAAAAAAATGCATGGTTACACAGAAATTCTATAGGCAATTCTAGTATACCTATGTATAAAATTTGCTTGTGTGGGAGTTCAAGCCACAGTACTACAAAATTTGCGTTTGAACTTCATCTCTGTAAGTCTTTCCCTCCTCTTCCCTCTTCTCCCTCCCTCCCTCTTTCCTCTCCCCTCATTCACTTTCCTCCCTCCTTCTCCACTCCTGTTCCCCCCTCCCCTCCTATTCCCTCCCGTCCTCTCCTCTCCTCCTCTCCTCTCTTCTCTCTTCTCCTCTCTTCTCTCTTCTCCTCTCCTCCTGTTTTTTCTTTTTAGGCGCTGCTAAGGTTTGCACTCAGAGCTTGCTCTTTCTAGATTCTACCACTTGAGCCAGTCCACCAGCACTAGAAGTCATTTTCAAAAGAATATGGAGACTGCCACTTCAGAAAGTAATCAGGATAGATGTGAGACCCAAATCTGTCCTGAAATTGTTCCAGTCTACTTGTACTAGGTCCCAGCTCCACGCTGGCCTTTGGAGTGACAAGTTATACTGTTTACCTTTTGCACATTGCTCCCTGAAAGAACTTTGAGGTAATCACCACAGAACAGCAGTAAGATGGCAGATACAGATGGTGTGGGGCCTGGGCTTCCTTTCCTGACTCAGACTGCTCATCAGCCCAAGGTCTTTGAAGTGCTGTTTGCCTTGGCTGGTTCTTAGTTGTGTCTGTATGTGCACCATGAACTCCCTTCTGGCCACAGAGTACTAGGACTGTATGATATCTTGAGTCATTGAGAGGATACTAAGCTATAATTAGGGGACATCCTCCAGTCACAGGCACGAAATGAGTCACTGGTGACTCCTGCCTGTTCTCAGAGTGTACCAGTTTTTATTTCTGTGTCCATACCTTCATGCATAGCACAGGCCTTCAGCTCCTAGCTGTAGAGGGCTGGCAAAGGCTCCTTACTCCTCTCCCGTCGTAAAGGGTCAACTCTGGCCTACACACCATATTTCTCAACTGCTTTTACTACTTCCTCTGATGATTCTTCCCTGGTCCTCCATTGCTTTCTTTTTTTTATAGTAGAGATTTATTTATAGGGGAAATTCTCTTTTCCCCATAAACTTGATTCATTCTGATACTGAAGAACATTGTTTTCTCTCGATAAGCATCACAGCATCAAAACTTTGGTTTCTGGATCATAGGTGAGGAATCTGTCAGCACAGACACCATGACAGCCATGATTGTCCATTTTCTGTTTTCTGCTTCTGGGAACACTAATGATCATGGAAAATAAAACACCTTGTCATCCACTTCTTCTGGCTTTCTGGGCAAGCAGTGTAAAAATGTCCAGGTAGGGGCAGCAACTTTAGCAGTCTTCATTGTAACCTGGTGAGCTTGGAAAGCCTCCAGCCGCATTTTCTTCTCTTCTTCTTATCCAAGGGTCTGTGATTAGTGCATTGGCTCCATTCACTGCTTCCAATAGATCACTCATCAGCAACAGTTGGGTACCATTCTCCTTGGCCTACTGCTCTGCCAGCTTGGTTATATTAGGATCTGGCTCATAACCCTTTGGAATAGCTGCTTGAAGGTGCATCCCAAATTTTGCTGCACTCATCATGATAGAATGCAGGATGTTGTTTCCATCCCCTGTCCAGCTGAGGGTAAGACCTTTGAGAAAGCTGTAGTGTTCCTGAAGCGTAAGGTAATCAGCCAGGATCTGGATAGGATGACACAAGTCTGACAGTTCATTGACAATTGGGATGGATGCTTCTTTAGCCAGAGTGTCCAGATCTGATTGTTTATACACTTGAGCCAGTACTGCATCTGTCATGGCAGACAACACACAGGCTGTATCCGTGAGACTTTCATTCACACCCAAATGAATGTTTTGCATGGTAAGAAAACAAGCAGAGCAAAGCCTGTTTCTGTGGATAGTCTTGCTCGAGTGCTTCTTTTCTCAAAAATCATGCCTAAGGTCTGTCCTTGCAACAAAGGCAAATATTTTCCTTTCTGTTTTATCCTAAATTTCAGATCAGCAGATAGCCATAGCAGATACTTAATTTTTTCTCCTGTAAAGTCCCTTAAAGAGGTCACGACCCTTCAATTGGACTTTATTTTGTAGCGCTTTCCCA